GGTCATGTGGAATTCAAAGAGAGAAGGCCAGGAACTAACAAGGAGATGCAAATAACTGCATCATTTCCCCTCCCCTTTTAGCATGGCCATTAAGAAGCAATTAAAACCACTACAACAATACAGCAGCAAGGGGGGCAGCTATTCCTAGTTTCAAAGAGTTTAGATAGGGTGATACTAAGGATCTACAGTGACAAGTTACAGTTCTTTTCCTTGAAATTCACAGTAAACAAGGAATCAGTCTTTTAAGAATTATCTGCCCATCCCTCCACATAAGGGGCTGACACAGGGAAAAGTCAAATCATTTGACAAACAAAGGACACTAATCCTTTCATCCACCAAATCAGAAATTAGATTCAAGAATAGAGAATTTTTTCAAAATTGTTAACTATCTCAGGAATCTGTAGTTATCTAGCTCCCGTTGTGAAAAAGTGTACATTCCTTGTTATCTATTTTATTCCTATGGATTAGCTGGAAAATAAAACAAGGAAATTAAATAAAAGATGGACACCTTAGAGCAGCCTTCCAGTACCTACAAGAGAGCTGGAGAGGGACTTTGTAAAAAGGCATTAGTGACAGGACAAGGGAATGGCTTTCAGCTGGAAGAGGGAAGGTTTAGATTAGGTATCAGGGAAAGATCTGTGAAGACGGTGAGATACTGTAACAGGTTGTCCAGAGCAGTTGTAGATGCCTCATCCCTGGAAATGTTCAAGGCCAGGCTGGATGGGCTTTGAACAACCTGGTCTAGTGGAAGGTGTCCCTGCCCAGGAGAAGGGGTTGGAACTAGATGACCTTTAAGGTCCCTTCTAACCCAAACCATTCTATGATTCTATGATCTGTAAGTGGAAATAGAATGGGTCCCTGGTTTGTGCAACTAAGGTGGCACCCAGATATAGGAGAAGCATTTAAAATCCAGATTGAACAGAACTGATGGTCATTGCTTTGATTAAAGAAACTTGCAATCATATGGATGAAGTGGGCAAGCACCAGCCATGCATCTATCATAAAAGAACAGATATTCAGGGAAGAAACTACCAGATGATGACTCAAGGAACATAATGATTTTACTAATGGCTGCAAACTTCCTCCTAGCTGAACATCATCAAATAGCAGTCTGAAGAAAAAGAAAAAATAAAACCCAACCACAGCAGGAATACAGGTCCTCCTTTAATTACAGGTTTCTGCAAAGAGACCTGTAATAATACCTCCTGCAATTTTTATAAGCATTCAAATGAAAGAAGAGCTTAGTGATTATCTTTTAAAAGCAGTGCAGGGAAAAGGCAGAAGGGAGCATAAAGAAGCCCTGCAGAAATTTGCAAGCAAATATACGGGAAGATGCACATTCGTAAGTTTAAATGAGGACTCTCTCAAGAATTGACTGCAGCTGTGCATAAAGCAACCACAAAACTGAAGAGACACAACTGAACTTTAACACAATAATTTCCAATTACTCAATATTCCTTCAAGAAACTTAACATTTTAATAGGTCCATGAAGGCTTGAAAAGTCATAGGAGATCAACATATCTTACATTTCATGACAACTTTGCAAGACAAGCTCTTCTCATCTACATCCACTAAATGGCTACAAGAGAGAGATTTAGAGAACTACTTTAAAATGAGATTTTCTCCTCACTTTCTGAAGTGGAAAATTCACAATTACGTCTGTAAACATCTTCTGTTTTGAAACCTGAGTAATAGTTTTGAGTACTCTACTAAGACTACAACCCAACTGTGAGGCAACCTGTATTTCTATAGGAAATTATCCTGCATTACTTAAGATTTGGCAGTTGAATACAGAAAGCAAGTGTCAAATGTTTCTCTGAAGTGTTAAAAAGATCAACAATTTTTGTTTCCTAAGGGAACCTAGGGTGCATACACTCGTGTTTAGTTATTTTTTACTTGCTGGGTTCACTCTCTGCCTTTTTGGACAACTTCAGCAAATTACTTAGCTGTTATTTGTGCAAAACTCTGTAGGAATTTCAGCTATTCTTCTCAAATATACAGAAAAATGGAGCTGGACAAAACTGAACTTCCAAAAAAGAAGCAAAAGATATTCAAAGAGATTAAAAATAAAAGTTCCTGTGCATAGAAAAATGCTCAGACTGACAGCAACAATCCCATAAGACAGATACAAGATCTTTTGCAAGATCCATGGTGATGAGAAGTACCTTCCCACTACTTCCTACTTCTACTGTCTCTGCTACAGAAGAATCCACTTTCTGCTAACAGAAGTCATATATTCACATTCACAGTATTTTGCAACTTATTTTAACACACAAAATCACCAGAACTGTTTCAAATGCCCTCCATTCACAAAGTAGTGAAGTGGGCAGGAAAGCCACTATCTAATCACATGAGATACCATGACAGAAATTCAGAAGTGATCATTTACTAAAAAAATCTAGACAAAGAGCCTATAAATTCATTTTACTTATATATGAATATTCCACTTAATTAAGTAAAAAAAAAATCATACTTCCAGTAAATTGATATTGTTAAACCTGTTTGATAGTTGAAAATCTTTCAATTTGAACCAGAAAAGAGACAATGAAAAATAACTTAAGCCTTCTAAGGAGCAGAAATTCTATATATGTCTATACATTTGGAGACGCCTTTATTAACCAGGCAGAAGAAACCAGAAGTCTAATGTTTCCCTACAGATAAACTGAAGTTACTGCTCAGTTTCACCCCATTTAATCTGCCACAAACACTATCACAGCCTAAATGTCACGTTAACAAGCAGCAGCAATTCATTGTTATTTCCATTCAAAAGAGCCAAATAATGCATATACAGCTAACACATTACACCTGCAGCTACACCTCATACATGTTCTGCTTTTAAACCATCCAAGCAGAGCCAGACCATATCCTTCTCCTACCATTGGACTGTAGCTACTTCCTTTTCCATGTGGTGTAGATAGGAAATATAACTTGAGAGGAGGAAAAGAGAGATAGCTGGCTTCTTGTCACGGTGCGTGGTTTTATATTGTGTTAATTGCCTTGTACTTAGTTCTAAAATGGTTCATCCCTATGTTACACCCCCAGTTTGATATATTTTGGACTCTCCCCTTCCCGCCTCTGCTCGTGTCCATCATCCTCAAACCCCTTCTATATTCCAGATTCTTCCCTGCTCGTCACCCTAGCCCCAACCCACATGGTCGCCAATCCCCCTTGGGCCCTCCTATCTTTCCAGCATGTTCTGTATCAGTCATCCCCTTCTTGGTACATGATTCGATGTTGTGTTATATTGTATATCCCCCTATTGGTTGTATGTGAACTTAGTCCTGCTGTATGTCACACCCCTAAGCTGTAGTGATAGGTTTCTGTATTGTGGCCTCCCATGGGGGAGGGCCCCTATTTAAGTTGCTGCACGTCTGTGTTCCCTGCTTTTTGTGGTTCCTCCTTCCTGACATTGGTTGGTTCCCTATCCCTCTCCAATAAACCCTATCCTGGAATTACAGAAGGACTCTCCTGCGCTCTTTACTTTCCCTTGGACCGGTATCGCCGCAGCAAGAGCCTGGAGCTCTACCTTTATCTCGGGTTCCCAGGATCCTGGGAAAAGGCCACTCTCGGCACAGGCTCGCCTCGGAGCTAGCAGGGCAGCCCAGCTTGAGTGGACAAAGGTGAACTGTGTCAGCTTCTTAGTCATCCTGTTCAGTAAAGTGTACAAAGGGAAGTGTGGAAAGCCTGAATGGTTGGACTATGTCTGGTATGGACAGAAATCTGGTACAAATTAAGAAATATGCTGACAGTTCAGTCTTCCAATCAGCATTTTGCCAGAAGTTTACAACTTGACCAAATTTAGGTCAAAACCAGCAGAAGGCAACTTCATACTCTTTTAAAATGCTTAAAATAAGAATAATTACAAATTACTGGCAAAATTACAAATAAATAGACATTTTCATAAGGCCTTATTAACTGGCAGTAGTACAAGCACCACACACAAGGATGTTTCAGTCCCATTAAGGGACAGCTTGCTTTTCATACTGTCTACAGTAAGTGACAAATTTCACCCAAATAAGATAACAACATCTTCACACAGATCTCTTTACCATGAGACCATGATCCCTTTAAAAGAGACAGAGTAATGGTACCATGACATAGAAACTAATCAAGCAGAAGACAGATTTATCTGAATGTTAATCTGAATGTGTATTTCTTTTTTCTATCAAACTTTACACTTATTATAACTATAACAAATAATTAAAAATGAGATTCCTAAAGGTCTGTCATTTGTTAGTACTCACTACATTTGTAGAAAAAGCAAATGTTTCTAAAAACTAGACAGCAATAAGGAATCCCAAGCTAGATGTAAGCTCTCGACTTCTAAGCATCTAACTTTACAAATCAGGTACTGAAGTGTTTGGGAGCATAACTGGTTTCTATCACATTGCCTGGATTCTTAGTCTTTTAAGTGTCTCCAAATTTTTCCCCTATCAGCCAGACTTGGGCTTTTGTTGCAAAGGAAGGTTGTTTTTCTAAATCTAAAACACAGGGATTAAAGAACTAAAAAGGCATTTGAAAAAGACAAATACTCTGGAGAATTACTTAATAGAAGCTACTTGCTTTTTTTAAAGTGTTCATGAATGTTACCTGGAGGTGACCTGAGGTGAGCAGCTTTCATTTATATTAAAAAAATGAATCAAAACCTATGGCATAAGGCCATATTCTGCTATTTGTAATATGCTAAGTAAACATTTCTAGACATAAGCACAAAGTAAGAATTTTTGTCCTACAATAAGCATCAATATTCATTCTTTTTGTTGTACTCCCCCACAAAATTTGAAATTTAAGTGGAAAAATTGCTGCTAAAGTCCACATTCCCCTTTTTTTCTTAAATAGCCCATCAGGTTTTAACAGTATCTTGACATGTCTATAACATACTAAAAATAAATTCAAAAGTGAAAGTTTTTGAAAGACAAACACAAAAAACAAGCTGAAAGATTTTTTTAAATACAAACACATGGTACATGTAAAAAGGAAAGCTGAAGACAAATTGATATAAAAATCAGTGTTTATGTAAAAAAATAATGCACTGCATATTGTAAAATCAGTCAGTTACAATATTCACCTTCACAGAGATTTCTACATTTTCAGGCATCAAAAGGTTACACAGCAAGGAAAAGAGACCTACATGAGAGGCAGACTGCTTCCTAGATTCCATCCCAAAAATTTATACCCTGAGCCTGCAGGGAAATTAGAAGCAGGATTCAAATTCTGCTGACAGTAGTGTGTTTTTGTACTGCTAGAGTATTTGTCCAGCTCACACGGATCTGGAAGTCAGAGCCAGTCTATCTTTGACAAGGAAATAAGTACAAAAATTACATTTCTAAAATGGGGTTGGGATGAAGGTGCAAGTCAGTGAGTGGATCCTCCATGTTCAACACACAGGAACTGTCCTGGAATCCAAAAGCTCACTTTATGAAGACTTCATCTCACTTAGACAGGTTATCTAAGTTCATATATACTTTACAAATACATTTCATACCATGCAAGTTTAAATATTTTACTGTAACACTAGAATTCAGCCCTTTTCTTCATGGTTTTCTCTGGAGAAAAAGTTATTACTCAAACAGAAGCTTTTCTTCTTTCACTAAGATAATTGGAGGAAACGTAATCTTTACCTGTTGCAAATCACTGTCACTCCATTGAGAGTAATGCATTCATGTAGCTGAGGATCTGCCCCAAAACTATTTTAAAGCCATTTCTTAAAAAAATATTATAACAGGATATATTCTCTAAAAAATCCATCTACTACACAGTCTGATGAAGCATCAGAAGTCTTACTACAGCTCTTTCCTTTCAGTTACTACATACTCTAAAACAATAATCAGGTAATAATTCCTAGTATGAAAATACAACAGCAACAGCTTTCCACCACTGGGCTTTTTTTCTACTTCCAAATTGCCCTATAAAGCTGCAAACCCATGAAATTTTAAAAAAGTATTGGAAGACAAGTAACTTCAAACTGGATTTTTACTTAAAACCCCCTCAGTTCTCCTCTACCTTTTGGTGCTAATGGCTCTACAATGTTGAAACAAATTATTTTAATATAAAGTTTCTGTATTTATGAACAGAGAAAACCAGTATCACATACTAGACATTAATTTCTCAAAAAATCATATTTATAGTGTGCAGTTTACAGCTGAGATAAACAAGATTGTCAAAACAGTACTTCAACATGTAAGAGATGAACATTATAAAGGCACATACAGATTGTCAATGATTACAACACATTTCTTTAACAAGAGGGTATTTTCTGCACTTGTAAACAACTTTGTTTACATAAAGGCTCACACCTTTAAAGTGAGGTTAGTGCTGCTGACTCAGTTATTGCTACATTCACAGTTTAAGAGAATTTTAGACAATATGTGAGGTACACTCCCAAACAGAGTCATCTTCATTTCTTCCTTGTTCATTTATCATTTGATAACTGAATTATGCAGACTACAAGTACTGACCATAGAAGCCAGTAACACCCAAATAATCAGATATGAGATAAACACTAGCACTGATTAAACTTCAAAAAACCAAAAAGTCACCTTTGCAGAAAAAAGTTCTTGTTCTTCATTACATGTATATTTTCTTCATTTTTTGTATGCTAGTAAACTTTTCTCTGGGCACATTAAGAGCCCATTCAAACTGTAATAGAATTCTTGCACCTTTTGACCAGCTATGTTAATTCAGTCTCTTCATGTAACAACCAGGAGTCAAAAATCACCTTCTCTTTGATCTTCTGGCATACAAATCTCTTACGCTTTTTGTAAGCTGTTTTATGAATACTTTGTATACTCTCCCACAGTATGTATGCGTGGTTTTCTGTAATTCCTGTTCTAGGGGCTGCAGCAGAGAATGAACCAGGTCATCTCCAAATGAATACTGTGAAAAGGTTAAGAAAATTAAAGATTAATGCAGAAGACTGTCATTAGTCAGAGGTATTGGAGTTTTAAAAAAATTATTTTCAGCATCGTATTTGCTGTCTACAGGTTTATTCAGTGTTTTCAAGAACTCACAAGTGCTTCTGAATGCAGTAATTTAAAAACACCTCTCAATTACAAAAGTATATTCTCAGGCTTTCAATAAACCTAACAAGAAAGTTGTTTTTTTTTTAATGTTAAGCAAATGAATATATTCAGACGGGCAAGGAGGAAATTTAAAATTACCTTACCCAATTAAAAATTTACAACTCTAAAATGATTTCTGGATTTTTTCTTTTTTGCTGTATGGCAACTTTCTCAAATGACATATAACCTTTAAGTAATACAATTCTTATCAAATTATAATGAAACAGCAGTATAAAAAGTAGTATTGAAGTTTCATTAAACTGAATGATGGTCCAAACATACTATGTTTAACATGGGCATGAAATAAAGTTGTCATTAGCTCAACACTGCAATGTTTTTTATAAACAAATGATAAGTTAAAAACAGCATTTTGAAGTAACATAATTTTGTTCGTCTTATTACCATTGAATCAGTAGTGGTTTACACACTTTCTCTGACACGTTCATGTACGAAATGGGATCATAAATAAAAGGAAGTAATTTTTTCTTCTTTTTTTGACAATGCTCAAAGGAAACAAAGAAATAATATTTTTATGGAAATACAATCACTTTCCCTGTAATGTATTCTCAGACCCCCGAAAGTACTTTTCTTCATTTTTATATCTAAATATGACAACATGTAATAAAGTAACATTAAAATATACTCTTGATTTTTTTTAGGTTATACGCACACAGTAGCCTGCTACATTAAAATGTGCATCAGTGCTAAGTTTTACAGCTCTTCGGTGAGTATGCTGATGTAGTGATTAACAGTCCATTAGATGACTTATTTGCAGAATGAAAAGAATATACTGTGCCTAGTATTTAAAGGAACAACAGCATATTAATACACTGAATTTCCGTAAAAGGTCAAAACATAGTATATATAATAATTTTTTTACAATCCAAATCTAGATACAACTAGGTATTAAAGTGTTGCAGTAAATATATACAAACTTTGGGAAGAAGGGATTTTTTTCTGCACTTTAAAATCTCCAGAAAAATGAAGCTTCTGGTGATAGCTTGTTCAGCCTGGAGAATGAGATTGTCTCTCTCTCTCTGCACTGATGTGGCCTCATCTTGAGTAAGCAGTGTGTGCAGTTTGTGTCACCACAATATAAGAAGGATATAAAACTATTAGTGTCCAAAGGAGGATTACAAAGATGGTGAGGGGCCTTGTGGGGAAGCCTCATTGCAGTCACAACTTCCTTGTGAGAGGAAGAGGAGGGGCAGGCACTGCCCCTCTTCACTCTCATGAACAGTGACAGCACCCGAGGGAATGGCCTGAAGCTGAGTCAGGGTAGGTTTATGTTGGGTATCAGGAAAAGGTTTGTCACCCAGAGGGTGGCTGGGCACTGGAACAGTCTCCCCAGGGAAGTGGCCACAGCATGAAGCCTGGCACAGTGCAAGAAGTGTTCAGGCAATGTTCTCATGCATATGGTGTGACTCTCAGGGATGGTCCTGTGAAGGCCAGATATTTGGATTTCAGTGATCCTTGTCGGCTCCTTCCTATTCAGATTATTCTAAGATGCCCAAATGCTCATGGAAACAGTTTGCCAGGTGATTTATTAAAAAAATGAGAATAAAGCCTTTTAAATAAACACTGACAACTACAGGCATTGTCTTAGAATCCTAACCTAGATATAGTCTACACTCTTTTCAAAAAATGCTCATCAAAACAGGAATATACTGGAACTCCATCCAAACAATAAAGGAGAAGAAAGTGGTAAAACACTTGACATTACTTAAAAGAGAAAAAAAAATATATTTTGTTGCAGTCAAGATGAATATCAACATACCCACAAAGTACATGTACCACTATAGATAAACATACATGAAATAATAACAATGCAAAAACCACTTACATTTTTTATTGCTTCATAGACAGCCCTAAAAGTCGGTTGTTTATCATCGTGGTAAACACCTCTATTTCCATGAAGTATAAATATACCTTCTTCTTCAGCTGCCTTACAATTGCTTCCATAGATGCAGTGGTCAGGCCGGTAATTCCATTGGCAAGGAAAGACATAAAGACTTTCTGTGTGGAAAAATGAGAGCTCTGGGTTAAGTATCAAAATTGTTTCAGGAAATAAACCAATCTTCTCTTTATTTATTTAGGACAGCTTTACAAATTTCTGTACAGTTGTTTTGAAATCTAACCGTTAATTACACTCTAGCAAGCTCCAGCACTGTCTCTCAAATGCTTTCAGAGAATTAAAGACAAGTTAATAGTTCCCTGAATGCTTTCACCCAAAAGTCTGCTAATTGAATATTTTCCTGGATTTTTTTTTTCCATGGAAAAGATAACTTCATAGAGTTAGACTGAAAATCAATGTGGATTTACCTGGATTGTGAAAAAACATAATGTTCAATAGATCCTGATCACCCCATGTTATGTTCAACTTGTATTTCTTCAGTAGTGGCATTAGAATTTCTCCCCATTGTAACCGGACTGGTGTCATATCATTCTATGAAACAAAACAACACACATTCAGGAGAGTTATACCTATAAGGAAGGAAATGCCTTAAAGATTCACAGTATCTTGCACTTAAAAGGTGCAAATCTCAAATGTATAGGTAACTTTTTTCCTTTTAAACCAACAAGCCTATCTAAGGAAACTAATTATGGACATTTCCAATACGCTCTATTTCTCAGTGATCAACTTACTGAAAAATTTCCCTCTAACATCTTAAGCCAAGAATTCTAAGAATAGCAAGAGATTTTTATACAGCAGTAGGATCTAACACCAAATCTGCATTTAAGTCATGCAGCAAGTAGATGGGGAGTATTTAAATATTCACACATCATGCAATTTCTCTCTTTATCACAGAGTTATAATATACACAGGTTCTAATACTAACTGCAAAAATTTGAACCAGTTCAATATAAAATTCATTCCTAAACAGTTACAAACACATACAGATAAATACTGGCTACAAAGCAGTGTACAAAAATACAGAAATCCTTCAAAGGTTTTCAGAAGCATTTTCATCAAGTTGAACTTATTTTTTTCAGTTACTGAACTTGAATTTCCACATCAACAGGACAACTTTTCACTAGCAAAAGTCAGTAGACACAAAGATCAGCTGTTAACAACTTCCTGAATTCTTGATTTATTAGAATCACTTCAAAAGAAAATAAGTTCTTCTAAGGTTCTGAATGAGGACTAGCTACTTGGAGTAAATTGGCCTACACTGAATTCCATGTTAACAAAGGGATTCAAAACTGCAGTTTAAATGGTTACATATTCTAAAGCTAATCTCTTATCTTTATAATTTATTTAAGCTCAACTGGAACAGAAAAAGAACAAGGCTGCTCACTTTGTACCCTGTCCTTCACAGTTTTGAGAGTGTGGATGCAATAACAATAAGTCCCATAAAGAGAAAATTCCTAAACAAGTACAAGCACTGTACCTTTTCTTCTTTTTAAGCAAGTTGCAAAAAAAAAATTTAAAAAAATTATAACTCCATTATAGTTTGGTATTTGCATACAGGAATATCATGTTAAGAGACAGATTACCAGGAGCAAAATACTCAGTTTGAGATTTACAGTATCAAAGACTTCTTTCTCTGAGCTTTACACTGACAAAGTAGAAAGTGCACAAAATTGCAGTTCAGTTTTTACTCTTCCCTAAATCATTTCAGCCATCAAATATGAAGGGCTTTCAGAACTGAAGACTGAGCCAAGAAATACTACAGGATTTCAGACAAGAATTAATACAGAAAAAGATCTATACCTTATATTATGCAAGAAGCCAAACAGAATATTGCAATCCCTTCTCTCCTAAAAAATTTATGATTATGATTGCCTGCAAGTATTCGATGAGTGCAGCCATAAGAAATGCACAAGAAAATTCTTCGCTAGTAAGAATTATGATTAAATTCAATGCAAAGTAATTAAATTTAATAAAACACAGGCTTTAACACTAAGCTAAAACGTTCCAAATAAAGCAAATGAGACTGAATCACAGTCAGTAAAGATTACTCCCTCATCTGAAATTTGCAATTCACAGAATATTGACCTAAGGTTTAAGTTTAGACAAAATGCTAAGAATTAAAAACAGAATTAAATTAGCTCACTCATACCAGGCAAATAATGGTAACAGAATATACAGTAATAAATATTGTTTCAGAGCAACACATATAAATAGAAGTTGAAATTGTTAAAGTCATTATTGAATAGAAATTTCCTTTCATTCCTTCAGTTTTAATAGCAGAGAAATTCAGAGGATATCCCAAGAAGATGCAAAGCAGGTAGGAACATGCATCATATAGCCAGATGTCTAGAAGCCATACTACTTGATAAATAATGCTGTCAGATTTAAGAACTGGAAATTGTAGTATTTCCATAACCTTTGCATATATAGAAAAGAGCTACACGTTAATAAAATATCGGTGATATATAATGACACCAGTGTAGGCGCAAGAGAAACTACTTGTATAATTACTTGTTTTCCTTCTTTAAAATATTCTATTGTAACTTGCAGCGAGGTGAAATAGCCTGAGAAGGAGGATGCTGATAGAACTGCTTTTCGAAGTTACTCAAGTAAAAAAACCTCAAAGAAAAAAATGCTACAATAATTTTAAAATTTCCAGAATATAAGACTTCTCTCCAGTATTCCACAAAATGCAAAGAATGCTAGTGATTTGAGAAAAAATCCCCAAATGATAGTAGGCATTTTGTGATGACATCAAACTGATACACACAGGTTCCTAAGAACTCTCAAAACTCTAATTTACTTGAGTAGAAGAAAACGTGTAAGAACAAAATATATGCAGGAACCTCAAAGTCTTTTCTGGCATTTGGGGGGGGGGGGGGTTGTTTGTTTGTTTAGCTTGGTCATTATTCATTTTTGTACCAGGAAACTTCTGCCAGGCCAAGTCTGAAGTCAGACTTTAAAAAGCTGTCACATTTAGCTTTTATTTTTTTTCTAAATTCTAGGATGAAAATATAAAGCTGAGGGAAAATTCTCAAATCACACAGCAATATCTAAACAAACTGCAGCTGTGTGCCAAAAACAGCTGACCAGCTTAAATTTCCTTAATGCCAAGGGAGAGCCAGCTCTCTTCATTGTAATTACATGACTGTACCCTGTTCTTGCACTAACAGTGCAGTGCTAACACTTACTGCATGTTTTTGTAAGCCGATTTACTTTAATAATCCAGAAGAAAGATTTCTTTTTTCTCCTGTTAGCAAATTGAATCGAATCGCACAAAGGACTGAACACCAAAGGCTACAACCACGTAAATAAAAGCAGGGAAAAGCAGCTGGTAAGAGACAGGAAACTTCCTTTTAGAAGCAATTTGGTTTTGTGCAGGCTCACCGTATTTCTTGAAACAATAGCCCTAAGCAACCCTGAATGGTAAAAAAAAGGTTTAGCTCACAGAAGCTGTCTGAGCTTTGTTTTTATTTCTAAAGCATACCCACAAACCTTCACTTTGCACACTCTATCTGAAGTTAATTTATTTGAGGTTTGTTTGATTTTCTAAGAGCTTGTTCCCTTCCTTAACTGCCTGCAACTCAGGCTTCATGAGTAACCTTCTTAATACATGTGACAAAAGTCATTGCTCTCTATTCACGTTGCCTCATTGGTATTTTTGTTAAGCACTGTACCTGTAGCATTTGCTATAGCTCTTCTATTTAAAAAAAAATCTACATCTGTATGTATACAATTCAGAAGAAGTCACCTACTGTTAATCTCTTTCATATCCCGAACAGTCTTGAACACTTTCCATGCCCATTTTCTAACTGCTGCTTAGCAGAGACAACATGTAGGCACTAACCATCAGAAGCTTCAGTATGATTTCTAGTCTCATGTGCAGTTATGCAGTATAATGACCACACTATATTCAGTAACACATCTGTGCATGCACATGTGTCTGTATACAAGCATTCACACGAGCATAGTGCATGTATTTGTGCCATGCATACACACACACACTCACAACACACAGTACAAATAAGACAGGACCAGAAGGAACAACATCCATTAGGCACCACTGACAGCCAAGAGTTGGGATGCTTGTCTGAAATGGCCTGCCCTGACAGTCCTGAGAAGACTGAGGCTTAAATAAGTGGATAAAAGATGACTTAATCCTGGAGCAGTACATGGAACTACAGGTTATTGCTACCCAGATGAACATTGGCTAAAGTCTCTGGTTCTATTTTTTATTTATACATCTTCTGGATCCTCCTGACTCTTAAAAATCAATGTGACAACAGAAGAAAGATGCTTAAAGGCCTCAAGCAGCTCAGCTTGTAATTTGGGCCACAACAGACAAAGAATCCACAGTTTTAAATCCATAGCACTGGAGGAATATCCTGATCCAAAACTTCCACTTCAGATAAATGGCTCTACCATTATTGTATGATGCAAGAAGGTCTACAGGCATCTTTAAAAAGATACAAAATTTCCCAGAATTTATATACTCCTTGAAGAATTTGCTGAGCCTCCTAGAAGAATATAAAGAAATTCACACCTTCCCATAACACAACGAAGCATTTTCTAGTTCTGCTGTATTTCACTGGAATAGTTAATGGGACACAACATGGAAATGTTACCTATAAGGTCCAAAAGCATCTGCAATGTCACTGGCAAGGGGTATTAGGACAGTCCCTACCCCTGAATTTGGTCTGCCTCTTTTCCGAAGGTTTGAGAATAGCAGCTCCTTTTATATCAGTCACAAGCAAAAGTCATACTCTCAGGCCCACTGTGTATAGACTCAGCTTCACTAAATCCTTTTCCAAGTTTTACTTTGATGTCTGCAATTTTTCCTATTCTCTTTATAAAAAGACATTCAAGGAAGCTGAAGATGAAAACACAGTCTCTGCAAGTTTCCATGAACAGTAATTTTTGTCATAAAGCTTGTGCATCTTCGGGCACTGTGATGCTCTGCAAGCTTGTGATATCATACTCTAGGTACTGATGGAGAACAAACTAAATGGTTCCCCTGCTCACTGCTCTCTTGGTACTGATCTCACAGAATCATATAAAAAATATTCTAGCCCTCTAGAACCAAGGCAAAGTGCAGTGTTTCATTTTGAATTTCAAAATACTCATTTATTATTTCACTTAATTAAATCTTTTAAGTACATATATACACTTAAATTGGAAGAAAACACCAGTTTTAGGTGTTAAGGAGAAAGGACTTCATGCTGTTCTCTAGAAAACTACAGTTCACTTTATCGACAATTTAGTATCCTACATAATCTGTATGCTTTTGAAAATCTGAATTCCAATTTTACCAAAAATGCATAAAGTTTCCAATTAATTGATAACCTAAGTTGTACTGAGAAGCCAAACCAGAATTCTGGTGCAGTATGAACAAAAAAACAACTTTATCTTAGTGTTTACCACTACTGAAAATAAATCACTATACAAAAATGCACTGTCAGAGCTTAAGATAGATATATATAGCTTTCAATCCCACGTTTTTCTCTTTATACTTTTCAGTATTATCATTTCTCCATATGCTATAATCAGTGGAGAAACTGCAGCCATATACTACAGCTACTCTAACTTTCTGCTTTTAACTACCACTGAGATAATTCATTCTCCATTTCTCTTAAATTCTCTGAATCTCTTTCAAGAAAAAAAGAAAAATACATAGCAAGAATGCTAGGATGAAAGCTGCTTATTACACTGGAAATGGGGGAGAATTAATGTCTACTAAAAGTTTATATTGCTCCTCTTAAGGATGTATCTTCCAGAAGTTTCTGATGCATGATTATTTTTCCCTAATCAAACTTCTCTTAAACAGAGATGTACTTTCTCCCAAGCATAATCACACAGCACTGCTTTTGTACTTGTGTTTCAAGTACATGAGAAAAAACTTCAAGTCTGAGAAGCAATGACCATTTTGACTGCTGTGTGCATTGCTTCCATACAAGTAGTCGTAGCTACTTTCATGATGAACTTCTTTGTCTATAAAAACTAGGACTTCAAAGCAAATAAAAAGATACTTAGGGTGATAATCACCTGGCTACAATGGAAAAGATCAAAATTTGGAAATCTTAGTTTTCAACAACTTACTAAATGTTTTAGCACCACCTCCTGGTCATACAACTACACACAAGTTTACAATTACTGTTTTTCTGGGATACCTGTAGTTAAGAAATAACGTGGGCATATCTATTGGCAAATGTAATTTACAGAAAATTGTATCAAGTCAAAGAATCTCTCAGAACTAAGAAAAATTAAATCAATCAAGCACACTTGAAATTCAAGAAGTACAAGTCTTACAGTGAATGACACTTAAAAAATAGACAATATTTTAAACACAGTGTACTTTGAGAGCATTATTACAATTACAGAAAAAAATTTTGAAAAATACATATGAATATGAAACAGAAATAGAATTAAAAGACAGAAATCCACCGAAAATGCAACTGAGGCAATACAACACACATACCTTGAAATATTTTCTTCTGATACGTGTCATATTCATTAGCATGACTCCAGAATTAATTCCAGTTACTCCATAATAGGGATGTCTAGCAAATCGATTGTACCACCCAATACGAGGTTCTTCATGTTCTGGTGCCATTGCAGCAATTTGTGTGGAGTTGAACTTTCTCAGAAAAGACCAAATATCATCAACAGGCCTCAAAAACAAGATGTCAGTATCAACATATAGTAATGAATCCACATTTCTGAGGATTAACTGTGAGGGAAAGAAATTTAAAACCAAAATGTTAAGTTTTATTGAACTGCTCTTATTAAACACAAGAAAGTTTAACAAATTTTTGTCATATGAAAATAAATTCACTTTACACTGACAGTTTGCAGTCAATAAATTTGTCATCATTCCTTTTTCTCACATTTTAAAGAATTTTTGTAGAGGGAAGTAAGTTTTATATAGAACAGCAATGCAAAGCCACTCATTCTACATTTTATATGTCAGGGCTCCTTAGGAGTAGGTGGAGGCCAGGTATAACATTTCTCTAACAGGAGCTCCTCTCCTTCTCCTGCTCCCTTGCTTTCCCATACAACTAATCCAACAAATGTCAGGAGCCCATCTTTGGGAGACAGCTGCCACTGCTCTAATTCACAAGCCTGAAGTACGTTTTTCTGAAGTGTCTTAGAGCAGCATATACACAAAACACTGGCAACAATAGCCCATTTCTTGTTTCCTTTTGTCTAGCACTTCTCAGACCCATGCACGCAGGAGGCTTTACAACTGAATGAGGAGATGAGGTGTGATAAATCCATCTTACCTCTGAGATGACGACATGACCTATACCTCTTTCTGAGGACACTGCCATAATGCATCAAGTGAGAAAAGGACTTTTATTCCATAGGGTACTAGTGCCACAGAAGAATATTAAATTCAGAGGGTTTTTTCAGATGTCATGAAAGTAACTTTAAGGAATAGTAGTAGTTCTTCATTTAAAACCAAACAGAAATCAGACTAACAAGGACATGCTTCATAAACAGGCTTCTGGATTGTTTTATGACAAAGTAACTTACTGGCAAAAATAGTCTTTGTGAAGCACATGGTTTAAACAATTTCTTCCATTCTGCTGCACTCTCAGATGGAAATGTTATTGGATATAATGTGTAATTAACTTTTCCTTCATAGGGGAATTCATCAAGCTATGTGAAAATAAGAAATCACAAAAATTACTTCATTTCTATTACAAAAAAAAAAAAATTCAATTCACCATTCAAACTGATACCTGAACACGAGTGCAATGCCTCGTTTCCATAACAGAAATCTAAGAATTTGTCAGCTAATCAAAAGACTTGAAAAAAAATGGCACCTGCAGGCCACTATGAAGAAAACACATCATATCAGATCACAAGCAAAAGGAAGAGGAAGCAAAATAAATTAGTATTTACAAAAAGTTAAGTATATAAATTAAAACTCTTCCCCCTTAACTAGTTACCACAGAACAAATACCAATGAAAACTTTCCAAATTAAATCTTACTCCACTTTTGCCATTAGCTACTGTATATAAATTAGCATGTGTAACATACTAATGTCAGTTAATATGACATTTTAAGCAGAAAAATAGTAAAACCCTCCACAGTTATAGCCTCATCAGCTTTTAAAACTGCTACTCCAGTCATAATGTAATTGTTTCAGTTTCATTAACAGAAATTTACTAAAATTAGATATAACCGCATCTACTGTATCCAAAAACTGGTGTTTCATTTTCTCTAAATAATATAAAACTAAATCATGCTGTAAGCACAGAGACAAAAAAAAGACAGATCTCTAATTTCTTCTTGCAAAGCGAACTCTAAACAAGCTCACACAAAGTAACTGGTTTACATTCAGAACATCTGGCTTGTATTTAACAGATTCAAAATAATAAATCAGAAAGTTTTGGTCTGTCTCTAGGAGAAACTCTAGTATCAGCAGCTGGCATTCTTCCACAGGAAAAAATTTCAAAGATCCCCAACCAACTCTGTGAATGGCTTATTGCCTTATTTTTATACTCTGGTGTTTCTGCCACTCTATCAAACCAATAGAAGAATTGCTCTATATAGTGCTACAAAATTGTGCTACAATTTGATTGAATACATTTTTGAATACTTACTATGTCTTTGAAACTCTCATGCAATTGGTCCTCAGCAAAAATATGAAAATGGAGAGGTTTGATGCTGAAAATAATGGCTGATCTCAACATTGTAACAGTCTCCTCCAGTCTTTCACCACAGGCCACCACTGCTAGATGCATTTTCTCAGAAGGATGTGTTTTCATATAATCATATCTGATACAAAAATATTTTTTCATTTGACATTATTTCTAGCACAGGCTTAAAGAAAAACTCTACTATTTACTGCAGCAAGTAATTAACAAAATACCCTTCATCATAGTTCAACTGGCAAAGTATAACTCAAGAGAACATGCAAACTACAGCATTATACCTCATAAGTTTGCTTACATTTAACCTGAACCATTCTCATAATCACTCTCACCATCCCAACCTACAAGGGAAAAAAGGTCTAGAAAATCTATACACAAACATTTATTCTTTACAATCTTACTATTCATTATTACTAGCAAGGAAATTCATCAAAGTAGCTATGCTAAAAGAAAGACTACATGAAGTTACATCAAAATTTCAAAGGCTGACAGCACATTAAGTCTATACATGAGTTTTTCTCCTTTCCCTGGACTAAATACAGACATAGGAAAAAATGACAAATACAGCAGAGTTGAACTCAACAAGTGAGATAAGCCCTACACTTTCAAGAAGTTCTGTTAAGAACATTTTTGACTGATACAGCTTTTGTCCATTTTCTGCTCCAGTAAGTCCTTTTTTGTTAAGCACACCCTTCAGTGCTTCTCCCAAGCACTGACAAAACACAGAAACCTTTCTCCTGTCCTTATGTCTTGCAGGAGTACAATGCGGGCTGGATGAGAGGGTAAACTAATAGCTCAGACAGCCCTGTGGGATGCCCTGGTGCTCCCAGTGGTCTGGGAAATCCCTCAGGTACACTGATCACTGTCCATGGAGGAGGCTAAATCATTTCAAGGAGTGGGACTGGGAAATCCTTTATTCCTGAAGACATCCGTGCAACAGTTATGGTGAGATGTGCCTGGAATGTATTATACAGGGCACATTTTAAAGTTATTTCACTACTTTAATATAACAGACTAAAATTGTCATCAGGTAAATACCATTAGCTTCATGGCAAACACAGTGGGTATACCAAAAATCTCATAGATTTCATAGATTTAGTCAGGAAAGCTTTCAAAGCTTTTAAACACACATCAACTCAAAGCCCATCTGCAAAACAATATCATGCATTTGAGCTGTATGCACAGACTATGGCAGGAGGCTGCTAATAGAACCAAAAGTATCTGAACGTTTAAATTACAAGTTGAATGCCAAATTATACAGGCAAAATTAATTCTGAAGTTGGAAAAGACTTTACCAAACTAATAACAGTAGAAAAATGCTTGACAAATCACCCATTCTTAGAAACTTGTTGAAGAGAGACTCTTTAAAACAGAAATTACTAGGTGTGATCTTAGCACATAATCTCCACTCAATTTATGCAACCATGTAAATACATACAAGTTTTCCTTTAAATTTGCAATAGATAATATGCAAATATGCCTCTTTTCTTTAAGGCACAGAAGAGCTATTATTTTTCACTTCCACAAGACAAATTATAAGCAAAGTTATCACCATAAAACTGCTGAATTTTAATGCCATAAATCATTGATTCATTTAAAAAACATTCTGAGTTTTGAAAGAATGTAATGCCCTGGAACTAAAAAAAAAAAAAAAACAAAACTCTGTTTTTTGTTTGTTTGTTTGTTTTTTGGTTTTTGGTTTTTTTTTAGTCTTAAATCGAGGGATTTAAGATTAATAAAATTTTAATTAGATTATGCAGCCAGTCGTAAGGTCTGGGGCATTATTAAAAATCACATAGATGAAAGACCTCATGGGTCAGATTTAGATCCAAAAAAGGGCACTAAAAGAAGATGCTAACCTAAACTCTGTCCAAAGTCTCATTCAAGCTAATAGAGATCTAGTAAGCAGGTTACGGAGTACAGAGAGTAATTAACCTTATTTCAAAGTAAACATCTAAGGCTTGAATCGATTTTTAACATAGGTATAGTGCCATTTATTAAGTTCTAGAATATCCCACTTGATCTCTAGATGCTAAAGACTTAGTATTTCAAAGATCATTTTGTGTCTACTAGTCTTAAAAAGATGTCTAGGATATCCAAGTGCTTTCTGATTAACACCAATCATGTACATCTCAGCAGCTAAATGGCAGGTCACCTGGATCATCCTCTGTGCCCTTTCAATTTTAGTGACTGTTTAAGACCTACCTGACATAGACACCAATATGCAGACATCTATATTCAAATGATTTAATCTGCAGATTGAAACCTTTTATAAATCTTGAAGTAAAATCTGAAAATTAGTTCAGGTTAACACATACACTCACAAAAAAAAAAAAAAAAAAGATCTAGAAATATAATCAAGACATGCCCATTCAAATCTTTATACATAAAGCTAATTTAAACATTATACCATGTAGTAAATACTAATGTAAAAAACACAATGCAAGCTGAATATGAGGGTAGTTGAAACCCAGAAACAAGTAAACTTTCACAGTGTGAACAAGCTGCAAGCAGCAGATTAGCCTCATCACTAATCCACTGAAAAGGGAATTACAATAATTAAGCCCTGAAGTCATGAGAGCCTACAGCGATGTTACAAGGTCATGTGATAAATAAGGGCAAAACCTACACAAACTGCACAGCTGAAAACCAAGCTCCTGAACTACGTGTAACACACAGCTTTCCATGAATAAAGTATGACAAAAACTATGCTGAAGAAACTCTAAAATGCACAGGATTCAAAGACTGTTATTTTATTATTTTTTATTTATTTTTATTATTTCTATATCTAGTATATCTATATTTCTATATCTAGTGATCTCTGTGAATAAAAGAACATTTCAAGCCACACAACAAAAAACTGACTGATCATGCTTATAATGCTGTTCTTACAGTCACTTTGCTCATACAACCACTTCTGTAAGTTTTAGACTTATTAAGTTCATTTTTTTAAAATCTGTGCTTAAAAATTATTTCTTTAAATGAAAAAAAAAAAAAAAATTAGAAAAAGCTAACAAAAACTGAATTTCATCTCGTACCAAATAGGAAACAGCTGGACTCAGATCCATAAATTTCACAAGATAAAGCTTTATACCCTGAAGCAGATGGAGCAAGAAGCGGTTGGAAAGAACAGGCCACCATTCCCTCTGTGGACTCTCCAGTACAAAGGGAATGAGACATACTAGATGTATTAAGGCAGAAGTTAGGAGACTGCAGGATTGTGGTCCTTACTCTAGATCCATAAAAAGACATCCTTTAGTGACTGGAAGCTGCACTTGACTTCCCTGCATAGAGACCACTGGGAACCACAGCCTCCTTTTTAGCAACCAGGCCTCAGGCTGTTCCTCTCCCTTCCATATACACCTCTGTCCCTGCCAGAGAAAAGTCCTATCCCCATCTTCATCCAGGAACACAATTTAAAAATAACCCTCAGCTGCCAGCGTCTTCCATCTCTTTTTCCTCTTCCTGATGCAAGAGACAGCATGAAGTGTAAATTGTTCAGAGAGCTTATCAGCTTGAGCTCTGCAGTCTCACCTTCAATGGGAACGTGTTCCAGAGCCAATTACGTTTTTCATTACTTGTTGCACTAACTTTGTTAATTTATGTCTACATGACTTTAGTTTTTCCATTAATTTCTTCTCAAATCTTCTGCCTTCAACTGCTCTCTTCTTTTCCCACCTCTCCCCATCTTTCTCCACTGCAGTTAGGCATGCAGCTGCCTCACCAGATGCCAGGGAAAGGAAAACCACGTTCCTTTAGATAACTGGTCCAGCATCTGTTAAGACTAAGTGAAACAGGATCTTTTGGCAGTACATTTTTTTAGTTCAGTTGCTGAGTTGACAATGTGCAAAATAAAGTTTATTCTACAAGAATAGTAACTTGTCTGAACCTGAGCAGGTTTGGTATCAGGTATCACAGCTCTGGTACGAACCTTTAGTGAAACTCAAATACAGGTCCTGAAAGGGTTGAGATGCTTTCAAAAGCGAGGAGATACATTCAAAAAACTTGTTAAGAGGCAGAAAAAACACAGAAGTAGATTTTTATATGCACATTTCTAATTATTAATAGCTTCGTCTTTTGGTGTGGGAGAACCTAGTGGAAAAGCTGGGAAAAAAGCAACAATAGAGTGAAATACAAACTGTATTTTAGTAGGGATGTTGGACAGACTAACAAAGAAAACTTGACAGACCTAATTTCTAAAAAAAAAAAAAAAAAATCTCCAATAATGTGGGAGTCCTACCTCCTGCAGAGAAAGAAAAACCTCTGGTAATTAAAATGGAAGAGAAAGAAGGCACCTGTAACCCAGCAAAAGATACTGAGCAGGATGCCATGACAGGATTTGAGTCTTAGGAAGAAATAAGAGAATTTCATTTTTGTGAGGATACTAATTACATGTGAAGGGTAGGGACAGTAAAAATAAAACACATGAGACAGACTTTCACACATACTCCCATGAGTCTGGGAAGCACATTTAAAACAATTCACTTTTGACAATGTGAGTAAAAAACATGTATTGTAAAACATGCTACTCAGCAGCAGCAAAAAGCCAGGTACAAGCCTTGCCTGAAGTATTTCTGTGCCAAGTATAGACCTTCATTCTATATTGATTAATTCTGCTGTTAATAACCTCTGAGAGAAAAACATAGGTGGATATCCTCAGTGAATCTGCTACAAGAAGGTTTTCCAGAGCCTGTCTGTCAAGACACTGCTTTACATTTAAAGATGTTTACCATGACATTGTATATTAAATTAGCATTTCTAGGTCAATTACAATTTTGAAGCTGCAATTTGATAGTAAACTACAGAGGTATGTTTTGACAAGTTACATTTTCTAGAACCTTCATGTCATCCCAGCTGCACTTCCTGGGAAAAAAACAACAACACAAATTTTATTTGCACTAAAATACCCACCAGCTCCACAAAAAGCTTAGCTATGTCCTTTAGACTTGACACAAGGAACTGCAGTAGAGGTCACCTTTATTTGTATAAAGTTCTCCTATTCTCACATAACACATGGAAAGCAGGTGAGAGGGTACCAAAAACTCAGGAACATACTGTATATAGTTCCATCTAATTTGGTATAATAGAAGTGATATTCATCATTAGCATAGAAAATGTTACATATATTCACTAAACTATGCAGGGAAAGTATTTTCATATAATCAAATTGTATTATTTCAAAGCTGGAACGACAATATACCTCAGAAAATCAAACAGTAGATACGTAAGTGCACTACAGATGGCTTACTTATTGCATCCTTTTTTGCTTTTAATGCCCTGTTCGATCTAAATCAATCAACCACTAAGAAGCCTAACCCAGCAGCCTTTAGTCACCAGAAAAAACAAAGCAAATAGGCAGAGAAAGAAGACAGCAAAGCTACACTGATTAAAATGCAGCTGTTAAATCACTCACTCCCACACTTATTACAAGTAGGATCAAGGTAACTGTAGACATTATCTGGATTTGAAACTGAAGAAAACTCTAGTTTTTACTTAGCTTAATGTTCTGTTGCATCACTGCATGAAAAACATGTCATAATCAAGAGCTTATTTTGTAAAAGTACACTAATGATACCACTGTATATGACATCCAAACATAATTTACTCAATGCCAACTCAATTAGTATATTAGGTTTGAAGTTAAAATACATGAATAATTTTAAATTGACTATAAAAATAGAAGCCACATTCTCTAATGAGCCAGACAGTTTAGAGAAATTACTTTTTTAAGGATTGTCAGAATTCATCTCAATATAACTATACCACATGAAGTTCAATATACCCAAAAACTTAGTGAAACTTTCTACTTTAGCAGGCAACACCAGTTAAAACCAATTTAGCTGCAACATCCAACAACTGAAATCAGCTTAGTCAGATAGCCAGATAGTAATGACCCCTAAGAATCTCTTCTTAGTCAGTCCCAGAAGGAAATAAGCAGTCATACCAGCTAGACAACACTGAGCACCTTGAAAGGTTTACTAGAAAAGAAAAGCATCATCTATACCATGCAAAATCTGAGCTTCATGTTATCTTCATCAGCATTTTTAAAGTTTTGATAAAATCTACACTGTATGTAAAAGCAATCTCATGCTTCCTCTGCAAGGTGAAAGCTAACAAATACTCTGTGCCAGAAGCACAACACATGACATTCTCAATGAAGTTGATAATCAGAATAGTGGTGAAAAAATGTGGGTGCAGAATATCTACAAAATCCTTCCCACATACAGCAAAAGCCATTGATCTTACACTGATTAACTTGAAGATCCTTATTATTCATTATTAGAACCAGGACCTGTTCAGAGTTTATCAATTTCAAATGATCTTCAACTATTTCACGATTCATACTGAAGTCTATATACACACCCTCTCTCTTACAAATTTTCCAGATTCCTCTATATGTCTCCAACACTTCTAACACACATACTTGAATCTTAAAAATCCATACAACATTAGTTTTCAGTTAATATACTTAGAGCTACTTAGAGGAAACAACGTAGAAAGCTGCATTTCAAAAGTGTCTATGCCAGGTTCTCTCAGGAATGAATAAATCCCTGTGGTTCTGATATCCAGGAGAAAAAAGCTAAGTGGAATTACAAGTTAGAAACAAAGAGATAAAAGGGTAAGTTTTTCCAACAAAAATACTTAAAAATCCAAAAGCTCACAATGTTTTAAAAACTTCAGTGGAAAATGCAAAGGAAACATTCTAGCTCTGAGATCAATTTTATGACTGCACTATTAGCAAAGATATTCCAGCTGTATGATCTGCTCTTCTAAACAAACTCATTTGGTTAGTTTATCGAAACAGCAAGAATACAACATCAGAATTTCCATTCACAAGGTCATTTACAACCTGGTTAAACAGTACTGTCTGTTTTCATGGATTAAATCAGGTCAAATAGATTTGTATTAGTGCATTTCAATAACCAGACTCTTTACACGTCTATGAAAAACAAATTCATTGGGATTCCTACTATTTTGCTGGCATATTTTTAAGCAGTGGAGTTAGCTATCCTCAGTTTTCAATCAGATAACTCCTAGGTTTTCCTTATATCCCTCTCCCTATCCTAGTCTCTTCATAGTTCAGCTTTATTCTGTACCTCAGTGCAACAATGACACCTATGACAAAAACAAAGGTACAGTCAATCCAGAATGAAATTACTTGGCCTAAGTAGAACAATCATTCCTTCCCATTTCAGAAGATACCCAATTTAGAATCACAATGCTGCCTCTTTATGGAAAAAGCTTTCAAGATACCATCTTCATGAAGAATCCTGAAGTGGCCCTACAGATACTATCTCAGAAAACAAGAATGATAGATTTCACTTGCTGTGGTTAATAAACATGCATACAATCAAATTCATTCCTTCTTCCTCCAAAAATCCTACTGCAAACCTAAGAACAACTAGTAACTATTGTACTTGAAGCAGCCTTCTGTTTCTCAGTACAGCCAGTACAATGGACACACTTTGTTTGAGAGTTAAACACAGTTATAACTCATACCCAAAGCTGAAACCAAACTGCAATTATCTTCTTTGTTATTGCAGCCCATACAGGGAAATGAGGCTTAGGACACAGGCTCAGATGTTGGGCCATGCAGTTGCTGCTGCTATCCAAAGAGAGAGGACTTTCTCCTTCTCCCTGCCCACTTCTCTTACACAAACTCACTGCACCTCTCCAACTCCAACTGAACTTATTAAACAGAATTAGAATAGAAGCATGGTGGCCCACTCTACGTTAGAGCATCTCACTGAGGAATTCAACAAGCACTGAAGTCAGCACAAAACATGGGGATTAATTTAATGGTAATAAATTGATAAAGCAATCCATCTTAATGTAAAATATATAATCACCACACACCCTTTACTCTTTTAACAGCTTTTTTTCTTTCAATTTCAGAATGTATGAACATGAAATTCTGCAAACATTAGGCATTCACCATGAACCATGTTTCATCATGAAAGTGGACTCATCCAGTAAAGTCATAATCAATGCATACTTCAACAGAACTGTCTTCACAGCCACATCTGGAATTCTTAATAGATTATTACAAGTTACAGCTTAAGGCATGTGCAAATAAACTGCATGGGATTTGTCCATTTTGATTCCAAGGTTCCACTTGCCTCAAGCCTGACAGAATATCCAGACAGGAAGTTTTCTGCTATTTTCGTGCATTACTTGTATTCATGGACTTCTTCATGCTTAGTGGTGTCAGAAGACAGCAAGACCCTCTTCTGTCTCAGCACTGCAAGTGTTAGACTGGCCCAGATGTCCAAGGATTAAATGAAGCGTACAATCACATCCTGTCTCTCCGCCTAGCATAAGCTAAAAGCCCCTACACCCTCAATCACAACAGCATTTAGTTTATCCCACTGTGCTAAATTTCATAAAGCTAAACTCCCAAAAGCTAACCTATAAGGAAAAAAAAGTTGTTTATGTCTATTCAAATAGCTAAATCTGCCTAACAAAGTCAGGTGAATCCCTATGGATTGACATAGTATGGATTGCTACTAATGGCAACAAGAAAAACTCAGCAGCTCCAAATTGCAGATGAAGTTCACCAACAGAATAAAAATCAATCTAAGTAACCTCTTTACGGAATTTCTTGACAACTGATGAGCTTAAAAAGCACTGACAACACACAAGCAGAGAAGAATAAGGGATCGAAAGCATTTCCCACAATCACAATTAAAAAAAAAATACTAAGTGTTGTGAAGCTAAACATCTTTTCCCCTTATACTAACAGGAAAAGATAACCACATCAAAGTGTGATCAGCAAAATTTCAAATATAAGAAAAAATCACCTTACAACTTTAGTTATATACTGAAAAGAACTATGCAGGTTAGACAACAACCTGACAAGTGGCTTACTTCTTTCCAAGCCACCTATGTAATGTGACAACCTAAACCATCTGAGCCACCATATCAAAACATTTAAACTTATTGTTAAAGATGCAGCATTAAGGAGAGAGCCTATTCTTAAACATACTAAATGTTAAAGAACATTCAAAACTGTCTCTTCAGTGCTTATGGATGAAGTAAATTCTTAAATTCTATAAAACATGTAACTTGAATAAAAAAATCTATATATAATTACTAAGTATATCATTTTAGTGCAAGTTATATCATGAGTATTAGCGTGCAGCAAATTCTATTTTAGGAAAATAATTTATCATTGACTGTTCAGACGGGCTTTTAACAGATGTTAGCAAGTTTCTATTTAAAAAAGCAATATAATTAAAAAATCTACTCTTGGTAGTAACACTTGACTCTACAATTTCAGAACATAATGAAACAAGAAAAAACCCAGCTAAAGGCAACCACAAAATAAACAGGTGAAATGCATGTGAAGTAAACAAGATATTTTGTTTTGCCACCTTGCTGAAGAGCCAAAAAACATCAGCTACATCTGTCTGCAATCAAACAATAAAGTACTATTTAACAACATCCTACCTAAAAGCAGCTTCCCAAAAGCAGTTCATTCCACAAACATCAGAGGGCAGCATCCAATAGGAATTCCAGAAAGATACAGACAAATTCTTACACCTAACAGAATAAGACAAAAATAACCTATATAAATGTTACTGATTTTATGGCAAAGTTAAATGGATAGTCTGCTAGCTCAAGCATAACTTGAACAGGTTGTTGGCAGAAAACTGGCTGTGTAATGCAACTTGAATACAAAGGAGAAGGTATTAGATGTCAATCAGAATTTTTTAACAGTAGAATTGTCACATCCTTTCGCCTTTCCTCTTCATATATTTTCAGAATGAGAAAAACAGAGAGGCTGAAATTTTTGAGGATCCTTCTATATTCTAGTCTTAAATTAAGGCCATAGGTAAGGATTGAATGGCAACACTTATTGCTAGAAAGAACGCCACCTTTTCAATACCTTTGTCCACTGAAAGTGGAGGAGCAACTGTAACTTTTCATTTTCGAGGTTACATAATCCATTTAACAAAATCTCTATTCATCCGTTACTCTAGTCAGAGCAAACGTGCAAATCTGATTTTTAAAAAAGCCAGGACTTAGCAGCACCAAGGAATTCCATTGTTTCATCACAAATGGTTAATGCGATACAGAAATAATCACAACACACGTTTTCTTTCTTCACACTAATAGCAAGACTAATAATTTATTGACTTGTGCTACACTAACAGCTAAAAAAAAGAGCAGGGTTTATTAGTTCACCATTACATTTTATGCAACAGCAATATAGGAAATATTTTATAATAGAAACAAAACTATATATTTAAAAGGTTCTGGTGAAAAAGTCAACATCAAGAATTACGATCTGAAATGTGTAAGCACAATATTGTAAAGCAAGAGACCTCTGCTCCTTGCCCTGGTGATACAAAGCCAGTAGTGTTTATTCTCCTTTGAAAGTTAGTATCTGTGAATGAAAGACATGTGCAAGAAGAAAACTGACACAAAAGCTGCTGATGAAAAGGTATTTAAGAACTATAGCTCAGAACTCCACTGAAAGTTGGCTTCGCAACTTTGAAATTAATCAGTATCATCCTGGTCATGTAATCTGAAACCTGTAAAGGCCAATGTTTTGCAAACACCAGACAATAATAGCTTAACATAGCATCAAAGATTGTCAAGCTGTGTAATTTCTGCTTTCTGTAACACTTGAGAAAAACGACCTGATAAACACAGCGTTTCACAAAGCCTCATTTAAGTGCTGTGGGGGATGGTGCAGTTCTTTGGTAGATCACAGGAAATCCTTGTATTCTGTAGATAAATGTGTTTGCAAGAATTTTCAAGTAATTTTATTTCATCACTTAAGAATGCTCTCCACAAATGAATACCCAGGTACAAAAAATAAAAATATAGACTGCAACTCTGTTTCATGGATAGCTGCACTTGTCTTTACCAAAGTATAAAACCATGAGTTCTCTCTGCCAGATTCTTTCTTACATTACTCTTTATGGCTTTTGAATTTTTATAAAAACTTCAGGGCACATAAGGTCTTGCACTTATCTGAAGAACAATTCTTATGATCTCTACTATTAGCTTTTTGAAGTAAATGTTTCTCATTACTTTTAGGATAAATTAATAGACAATGTCTCCAAAAGAGTTTTCTGGTTTGGAAGATTATTATGCTATTATTACAGGGGATTCCTTTTCCACTTGTCAACAAGAATTTTCTTAGCTCTCTTGAGAATTACCCTACCCAAACTACCAAGGCAAGAGGCAAATCTGAAGTAGTGGCTAAGTCATTTCTTTGACATGTTAGGCATTTCCAACATTCCATTTAGCACAAGATTATCAGCCTTGGGTTTGATTCATAAACTGCATGTTTAAAACAGGATACGTAGGTATGCAATTTACCTAATGTTAGCGCAAGACATTCTCCTGTCAACAGCAATTTCTCTAAATTGACCACGTTACCATATGCCCCCAAGTTTTTATTATATAAAGGATTAAGAGACTGGAATAAATGGACATTTTCATCTTGTCATTCACAATAAGGTCATTTAAAATGCCACTCATTTTTTTACTTGAAATAAAATTTGAGGAAAGCTTGGACTACAAACACTTACTTTACACAGCCAGGGAGATGCATTGTAGCTGTTTGCAAACAGGCACAATCACTGTTACCTCAGAGAGGTTACTAGTCAGACAGGAATAGTCACCTTCAGTACTACAGAGGGATATTTTGCTCACATCTATTATTGTTATGTGATTAAAGGCCAGTCCCCACAAATAGAAAGTGGAAAATAATGTCAGGTGAAACAAACCAACACACATAGAGTACCCTAACACAGCTCTGATTCAGACGGGCAGAGAGCCCATGAACCAGGCAGATGATCCATCCACCAGCCTAGATAACAGGAGAGACTCTCCAGGCCAGTTTACCGATTGCCTGATGGGGTTACTGCCTGAAAGGGCGTAGGACTCATTGCAGCATCCAAGGTGGACTGGGGAGAATGCAAAAACAGAGAGAAGAGGGTCCAGTCACATATGAATACTTCTGTTTCCTGGGTGACAGGAGTGGCTCCATTCCATCTGCACATACAGAGGTCAAAGTGCCTGCAAATGAGAAGATGGCCACAGACCCCAGGGGCCCACGAGCCAGGGGCTGGAGAGACATGTGTGCACACAGCGTGCGGGTGTGTGCATGCTAGTGCATGGAACCACCAGCAACCAGACCAGCCTGTAAGCAGAGCAAGAGGCTCAAGAGCCAGGAGTCAGACAGGGCGCAGGACTGGGCCTGACTCTGCAGAGAACAGTGAGTCTGAGCTACTGAAAAACCTCTCTCTTACACAGCCACAAGAGATTAAGGTCTGAGGGATGACAACTGGAAACACCAGAAAGTCTGAGCTGGCCACCTGGGCTTTGAGGAGTGGCTAATGTTTAAGGCTATAGGTAAGGACCAGCTATCCAAAAGACTCCCTTAGATAAGGCAATCCTGCGGCCAGCTGCCACAAGGCTAAGGCCAGTAACTGAAAAGATCCAGCACATTCACCTGTACATGTGTCTGCACATCCAAGAAGGCGTGAGTATCAGAAAATTAATTGGGGCTGCAAGCCTCAAGGATTCATACACTCATGTCAGCAACAGTGAAGGCCAGAGGACCAGGAGCCCATTCCTAGATGGACCAAGCGTCTAAGGCTAGCTACTGGAGGAATCCACCCTACATACATTGATGTATTTTTCGCTAAAATCTTTTACCCTGAACAGTCAGAGAAAGGAATAGCATCAGGATGCTTGTCTGTGGTTGTGCAAGCACGGTTTCCTGTGTGCTGACCTCTGTGGCCAGCTATGTGTGCATGCACAAAGAGCCTCTGGTCCCATTGGAACAAATGCTGTGCTTTGCTACGGTCTGGACCCAGGAACATGGAAATGCAGCAGCCTTGCCTCCATCACACTATGGGCTGGACAATTCCTAATACCTTCCACCGTCAAAAATATAAAAAAGAAGAAATACGAAGTTTCAAAAATCACTGGTGTCACAAAAAAGCATTCTCAGTGATCTATTTGCCAATTCAAAGCATATTTCTCTTAAGCAACTAGCCATTTCTTAACCACCTTTATCAGTTAATCTAGCTTCAACATCCCTGGGTAGTAGAAATTTTAGTATTGCAGACATAGAAAAGGTCTATTCCTCAGTCATGAAGACTGAGGCCCTGTGCTCAGGCAAGTCAAGTTTTAACCATAAGAAATGCCTCAACAATCAGTGGTAACCTCCTTTTTTAATGGACATCATGGTTGTCAGAAATACTTTTCAATCCATGTGGCATCTTTTGTACTGTAACTCCACAGCAAGCTTAGAAGAATGTCCAAATGGTGAGGGGTGCAGCCCTGATGACTACGTTCCTGTCATAATTCCTTTCATTAACAATTTACGTTTTATCAACTGCATGAACCAACCAATGGACAGACCCATGTTTCTCCTACAGCATAGCCCACAGGTGCAGCAGAACAGGAAGGATGAATTTCCTTTCTGCTCATAATCACACAGGAGTAAAAAAATGGGATGATAAGATGCTTAATTCCCAAATGCACTAAGAATTTCTAATTCTCCTCAAAAGCTCTTTCTGAACATTTGCAGCAATACCACAAATTTGTTATGACATGTTTTGTCATAGAGGCAAAGGCTTTATTGGATAGGAGATAGTCAACGCAATGCTAGATGTCTGATACCTAAACTTTTTAACTGGAAAAATCTTGATAACGTTTCACTCATTCACAACATTCCTAAGCAAAATAATATTTGCTGGTCAAATGCTTGTCAAATTCAGCAGTTTTTAAATGAAGTTTCAACTTCAAATCATTCAGTGTTTCATCCTGTTAAGTTTACCTCCTATTTTGAAGTTCTTCAACAGTTTCTGGACCAATTTCTTCAAATAAGAATAGCTGAGAGGCAAACTGGTGAAACTGCTGGTTAAGCTCTGATACTGATGAAAACAGTTGTGTACAGGCCAAGGAAAGAACCTGTCACAATCACCCTCCTCTCCTAAGCTTGTGGATATACTTTCTACCCTTTCCCATGCACTATACTCCACTTAACTCTCCCTCTGCCATAGCAGTTAGAGACTGGTACAATCAAACATCAGTGCTGCACATAGCAGAACGGTATGGCTGGCAGCACAAAAATGCTAAACTACAGTGTAAGGGAAACATGTTCTATTTTAGCAGGGTCAAATTCACCGACCTCACTAAATTCACAGAACTAACAAAAGGCTGATTCCTTCTGTATATCTCAAAATTTCTATTAGAATAGCACTTTTTTGGACCTCTATAGAAATATGAACATTATCTGCCTACTGAAGTGGCAATTTTGACAAAATATTGCCTTCAAGGGAGTCAACAGCTCCCAGTTTTGTATCATTTGCAAACTTTCTAAGTATCCCTTCCAGTCCTGCATCCAAGGCACTTAGGAAGATATTTAGCTATTAAATTCTTAAAGTGTTCTTCAGCTGCTTATATCAAGTCTCAAGATAGATACAAGCCTTTAGTCTCCAGTCCTCTTGTTCCTCAGACCAAAGTAGCATTTGAAACAAACAACTTCTTACCACACTGATTACCCAGTAAATTCCCGTGAATTTTGATGTTTGTTGGAGCATCCTGCCTCAGCCTGTAGCTCTAGTTTCAATATGGTACTTCTTTTTAAATTATTTCTTCTTAAACCTGTCATCATCATTGCTAAATTATTTCAGGTGTAGTATTCTAAAACCTTATTCAAGGCTTGCATGTTTCCAAAAATTAACAGAAAATCCAATATCTCCCTCCCCTATCCCAGAGCATGATCAAGCTCTTTCTTCTCTTGTGGCATATACCAAACCATTCAGGCAAAGAAAATACTTCTTGGCTAAAGAAAACAGAAAAACACTGCTGAGTGCACGAATGCCTTCAGATGATAGTTAGATTTGCTTTACCGAACTGTATTTTACAGCTATCAGGGAACACAGGTGAAGCAACCCATTTATGAAAGTTACTATTAACACATACAAAATGTTAAACTTCAGGCTTAGAAGGTGATCTAAATGCAATTTACTCTGTAAGGTTATGCACCCTTCAGGATATTCTCTGATCACAAGACAGTCAGAAGTGGGCATAAAACAGACAGGTGGCCATAGCACTGTGTGAATGCACATAGTGAAGAAGTAGCTGATGTATAAAAACTGAAAAACACCAGTACATTCAGCAAGATGTGTATGTCACTTAGAAAAGCGAATGTAATGCAGTTTAACATTCAAGAAAAATTTACAAATGTATCTAAAGGAACATTCAGTGGGACATTTCTTAACAGCCACAGGACAGAGCTTTTCCTTAAACAAAAGCCTTTTCTAAGAGTCTGACACACAAGTAAGTGTTACATATGCATTTTTTGCACAAACAGCATGTTTCAATAACTTACAACAGGGGATGTTTATCCTTAGCGTTCAGCTTGACATCAGTTTATAGGCAAAGAATTCCCACACAGGTGACAACAGACATTGGTTTTGCAAGGAGATATGCCCCTACAAAACTGTATGCAGTGGAATTATTTGTGCCGCTTGAGACCTTTAGAAAAGAACTTTCTCAGTTAGTAAAACTTTTCTATTTGACAACACGGGGCAGATTCATCTCTCATCTGATATCACTGCAGCAAGAAGCTTCTTGCACCTTGCTGAGGTTCTTCTCCACTCATATTTTAAAACTACACTTTTAGTACAAATACTGAAACAGTATAGCTTTTAAAATAAACTTGGTTCTTCTTTTGCTTACTAGCAGTACGATGCAGCTTAAAGTCATTTCAGTGTTTAATAGTACAAATCATTTATTTACATCATTCTTCTACCCAACAAAAGTTTGCTTCATTTAAACTGCATGTTTTCTTTAGGAAAGCAAACATCATACATATGGTCTTTTTAATCATATTTTTATTCAGAACTAGTAGATTTCAACCACTCACAATGAGTTTTTCATGTTTTTATTTAGAACCAGTAGATTTCAGTCACTCACAAGGAGTTTTTAATCACGAAATATAAGTTCATGTTATAATCTGTATTAACTTGAACAAAAGCAAAAACACGGGGGAAAAAATTCTTTTTAACTAGTTACACCAGTCGAAAGCTGGGTTTCACATTTCAGCTGACTCCACCCCTAGTAACTAAGAATGCTGTTTCACGGTATTTTAGGATTATTAAGTCAGAGCTTGTCATCCTGCCATCCTCCGTAACTCCTTTACAACAGCATCGACACTTTCATAATTACATGATGAAGCAACACAGAGCGCTGAGTTGGCCAAAAACGAGGTAGTTTTCAGGCAGGTCACCAGAGCAGATCAACTCACTCCTGCGTTCAGAGGAGCACAAGCAGTGCAGGGACTGGGGGGCGCCAGAGCTTGTACAGCACCGGGAAGCCAAACCAATAAACTCACTTTGCTTTAAATTGCTGTAGAATCTGAGCAGAGGTAGAGCTAGACTGGCCCAGAAGGGTCTGATCCTAAGTTTTCCTCCATTTTCAATAACAGATTTCTCACCACTCCTCTTTCCTGGATTTAGAACTCCAGCAGCCACAGGTGAACAGGAATATGAAACTATAATCTAAAGAAAAACTAGTAATTTCCATTCCATAACCTCATCACCACTTGGCCACATTAAAATTTCTGCTGACAGAGGGCAACAGAACTATGCAGAGTGTGAGACGCTCGGATACGCACCCCTGTAATTACAGAACTGAACTCACAGGTTTCTGTGAGAAGAGTGGCTGTATTAAGGCATCCCATAATAAAGTTTTGCTTCACCGAAGTTATATTTGATAGCCATAAAGTTACTAAGTTTCAGACCTGAAGGAGCACCGTGAAACTTTCTCCTTTTGGAAAAAGGAAACGCAACCCTCGTCGCTTCGCTCGCCCTATCCCTCCAAGCAGCGGCCAGGGACGGGCTCGGCGCCGCGGGGCCGCGCACACGAGGCCACTGAAAGTTTTCCTTGTTCATTTAAGGCTTCCCCAGCCGCCGGTGCCCGCCCCGCGGGACGCCGGGAGGGAGCGCACCGAGCCCCCAGCGCCCGCTGCCCCCGAAAGCGCCTTCCAGGCCCCGGCGACGCCCGGCCGGCACCGCGCAGCCGGGGGCGCCCGCGGCCCCCGCGCCCCGCTCCGCCCGCGGCCGGCACGGAGACCGGCACGCTCCCGCGCCTCCCGGCCCTCCCCTCAGGAATGCGGCGGGATCCGCCTCCCGCGCCCGGGCCCGGCTCCGGCCCCGCGCCGCGTACCTGCCGGTCCCCGCCTCGCCTTGGCCCGCGCTCCCTGCCTGCCGCCGGGCGCCGGGCGTGGCGGGGTCTCGGGCCTGCCTCTCGCGGCCGCCGCCGCCAGGCTCCTGCTCCTGCTCCAGCTGGCTGAGGCTGTAGAGCAGCGAGCAGACGGCGCAGCCCAGGCACAGCAGCGCCACCCGCGCGAACCGCCGCATCCTCCCGCCCGGCGCGGCACAGCCGGGCGGGCCCGCGGCTCCGGCGGCAGCGGGAGCTCGACGGGAGCGGCGGCGGCGCGATCCCCAGCGCGGTCCCGGCGTGCGAGGGGCGGGCAGGGGCGGGGCCGGGGCCCGGCCCGGGCGGGCCGCAGGGCGGGGCCGCAGTGCCGCCCACTGTTTATTTGCCCCAAAACCGAAAAGAGCCGCACCCCCCTTTTCCCGCTGCATCCGTCCTTGCAGCGCGGCCCTGTGCTCAGCCTGGTCTTGTCCCCATTCAGGCCTCCCGAACATCGGTCCCTGGGAGAAGTCGAGCGACGAAATGGCCAAAGTAGAGACAGTGGCAGTCCCGATCTGTTTCGCACTGGTGCGGCCTCACCTTGAATCCCGTGTGCAGTTTGGAGAACCTCAGAATAAGAAGAATATAAAGCTGTTAGAGGGTGCGTGCTTTCATTAAGGGCAAAAGCGAAGCTAAAGCTCCCTCAAAATGACACTCTTTCTTCGCTCTCAATGCTTATGTTGCACTAACTTTTCCTGTGTGAAATCTTCACAGCTGCGTCTGCACAAGGATATTCTATACGTATAAATATCTAAAGGGAGGTTGCCAAGAGGACACTCAAGAGGACACCACTCTTCTTGGTAGTGCCAAGCAATAAGACAAGAGGCAACAGGAGAAACTGGTACACAGGAAGTCCACCTGAATATGAGGAAGACCCTTTTTTACTATGCAGGTGACTGAGTACTGCAGCAGATTGTCCAGAGAAGTTGTGGAGTCTTCCTCACTGGAGATATTCCAGAACCATACGGACACAATCCTGTGCAATGGAGGACCCTGCCTGAGCAGGGAGGCTGGACCAGATGACCCACTGTGCTCCCTTTCAACCTTTACCCAATTTGTGATATTTCCACTCATTCCTTAGGCAGCTGAAGTTACACAGATGTCCTTTTTCCTTGCACAGACAGTCTGAACATGCAAATCACTTTGGCCTCCAGCCCCCTTCCCTCCCCTGGCCTTGGCACAGATCTGAGGAGCAGATGGGTGCTCCTGGGCCAGGGAGATGCTGGACTAGAGAAGCTTGGAGAACTGAGCCTGAAGGATTTGTTTGCAGTCACTAGCAATGATAGGACTTGAGTCACCAAGTCATGCTTCTGGACAACAAAATGTAGGGCTGGGAAGTGGCAGAAGAAATAACAGCTGTACATCTTGCTAGACAGGGAGAATACTGGTTGGGTTTTAGCTGAATCCAACACAGTAGTGCATCTTCTCTCTCTCTCTAGGCCAGACCACTGAACAAAGGCCTAACAGTTTAACTAAACTATACTATTGCCAAGGTAAGTATTTTAAAGTCATCATTCAGTGCTCCTCCCTCAGCTTCTGACACTAGTTTAAAAAAAAATACAAGTTTGGAATAATTCTGCATACTTTTTTGTCCTTACAGTGCATTTGGCTCACTTTTTTCCTATGGACTAGAAACATCCTTTTTTAATATAAGTGATAATATCCCCATTCAGGACCCTGCATTTTAAGAAAAATGCCAAAATTATTTCCAATAAACCATAAAATATAGTTCAGTTATAGCTTTTGTGGCCTAAGGATGTATGTTATGTGTGAATGCCCGTAAAACCTGAGCCATAGGTTACTGCTGTTCTTGGTTCTTGCTGTTACCCCTGTGCTTGAAAGAAGGGGAAAGGAGGATGCCATCTGGCCACCATAATAGTTGGAAGAGAAATAATGCCAAAATTGTTCATAACCTCTTTCTCAAAATAAAAAAGAAACGAGGAGAAAAGGTGGCCCTCAGAAAATATGGGAGACTCAACTCTGTTTGCAGTGGGGACACTGGGATGATTATTAAGAGATATCAGCAGGGAAACTGAGGCTGAGAAAAAAAACAGAACTTAGACTCCAGTAGAAGTAAGGAGCTAGAGAGGATGAAGTGAAATTAGGGCCAAAAATGGCAGGGTGGTGATGGGAGAGTCGTAGATGAAATGGCAAAGGATTTGCAGGAAGAACTCTGGAAAGAGATTACTGGCTTGCACTGCAGGAAGAACTAGCTCTGAAAAGCTCCACTCAGGGTCTCAGCTGGGCTTTCTGCCCCTTCTGTGTTCCTCAGTGCTTTCTGTCACAGCCTGCCATTCAGCTTCCCTGGTTTTGTGTTTATGCTCAAAATCGGGTTCACTGCTATCATTGCTTATCTACCTGCTAACCTGTGTTACGAATTCTTGCCCTCTCCCACTTCACAGCCCCTTATACATACTGTCAAGTCCATACGGCAGGGCATGAGTAACAGAGACACGAGAGTCACAGTATACAGATACAATTAACTGACAGGAAGCTTAAAAGCAGAGAGCACTTATTCCCTGCTGAGGTGTGACACCTGTCTTTTACATGGAAGAGTGATCCAGACAGGGAAAATGAGGTCTGAAGGGTGTTATAGTGGCACCAAGAATGAATGTGGCACATGGGTAGTAATAAAGGTCTCATACTTCAGAAGAAGAAATTACATTCTTAGAGGAGAAAAGAATAAATAAGGAATGCTAAAGAGAGGTGACATAGGGAGAAATTTTTTTTTATTATTATCAACCATGTAATTACCCAAATATTAATTTAAGGACTTCTCTTCATTCAGTGCTGTTCAATAATATGTGAATAATTAATGAATGAGAACATATCTGCAGTGCTCTAAAAATATAACTAAGGCAAGGTCAGAGAGAAAGCATCTTTGTTAAGCTCTCTGTTGCTATTGGGGAGAAAAACACGGCTAAACGTATACACACACACACACACAAAGCTTTTTTTCACACTGCAAAAATCTGTCCATTTAATCTATCAGTTAGTCTGATAAAAGATAAAATGCTTCTTACTATGAACTTGGCCTTGTGAGTAAGGAAGATAAGCAAAAGTAACTGAAATGCTATAGCTTAATTGTATCACTGAGAAAAAAATTATCAGATGGTATATAATTACCCAATTCAGTTTATAAATTCTTTAAAGATTAATAATTATGTATCTTTATTACTCATCATTAATAGTTCATGAACAATATGTAAAATTTTATGCTACAAGGTCTGCTAGTCTTTAATTAACTTAAAATATGAGGACTTACAATCAGATGCAAGATTCTCTCCTTTTATTAATGATTCTAAATCTTTATATCCTTTTCTTGACTAGAATTTAGTTACTTAGCCATGGTAACTTTTGTATCTTTAGTATTCAATTCTATTTACTACGTCCAGAAAATAGCTCAAATCCAGAAAAAAGCTATCTTAATGAACTATAGGTGTTAAATAAGTTGTTAAGACAATCAATTTTTTTGAAAAAAACAGCATCTGATACTTCTGCAAGTATGTCCATAAGAGTAATCACTGTGAGCTAGAAAAGGAAACCAACATTCTAACAACTCATTAGGTCGAGATAAATCAGATCAACTTAAATTAAAAAAAAGAAGTCCTAATCAGATGCATTTGTATCATTCCCCCTGGTTTTGTTCTTTCACAAAATAAAACCATTAATTAAGCTGGTAAAGCAGTAAGATTTTGTGCTGATAGATTTGTGTCAATACTGCCCTGTATGCAGGCCAGTTAAGGGTTTTTCAAAGGCCAAGACAGTTTGTTTGATGCTCACGTGCCCTTTCATACAAGCTGCAGTGTCAGCACTTGGCTATGATAGATTGCAAGGTTGGATAAGCAGGAAGAAACTGCTTTGCTGCCATGTGTTGTACATATGGTATCATCAGACTTCTTGAGGCAATGACCCTTTTTTCTTGCTGCCAGATATCACTTTTTCCCCTGCCTATTACCTTATATGAAAAATACTTAGTCAGGAACAACTGCCTTCCACTCTCATTGCATCTACCCCTTCAAATATCCTAATGTATAAAAATATTAACAAAAATTCTCAAAATCACCTTTTACTGATTAACAAAATATTACCTTCCCCCAGCCCTTTCCTATTTAGCTCTCATTGTTTAGCATTGTAGTGTGTTTAAGCAGGAATATAATGTGTTTAAGCTCCTAATTCAAGCAGGAGCTTAAAATATTTTGCAATCATTGTTGATAATCACAATAACACCCAAGGACAACAGAAACAGGAAAAACATCTAGGACAATAGTGCACAAAATTAAGTAAGCTGCCTTGTAAACTGTTTAGGAAGTGGTGTGATACTTTGCAAATTTCCTAGTTTCTTCTAATATGAATAAATTATTTCTTCATCAATGTTAATCTTCAAAATTTATTTAATACCTCCTCTGTGAATAATTGTAAGTTATTAAACATTAGTCAAAATATTTGTATCATTCCTCTTAAGAAAGTTCCAATTTCATGCTCTAAATCAATATGCATCTATATATGTAGACTTGCACAGTATTTAGTAGTTTACTACATTAAAAAGGCAGAATGAATACTTTCTAGGAGCACAAAGAAAATTTTCTTTTTATCTGTTTTTCAATATTTGTGTGTCAAGTGCTTTTTTTTCTGTAAAGATTACTACATTTGGAGCTCCCAAACATCAGTCCA